AGGGCTTTCCCAGCAACTCCAGCCTGTCACTGACCCCTCGGCTGTGGTCTGTACCTAATCTGTAGGTTCTGCAGCCCACATCTTTCCCAAGAGTGCAGACAGGAAAGCAGTGGTTGGAGCTGTGGGGTTGGAGTGCTGTCAAGACACAGTACAACAGCGATCAGGATGGATAAGGGGTGGGTGTTTCTTAGGGTCTCTCTCCAGGAGCTGCATGTTAAAAACTGCCTGCCTTAAGACTGCTCTCAGTTCTCTTTCTGAAATTTAGTCCTCGGAAGGAGGGTGCAGTTTTGAAGAGGAAGGAGCAATAACATCAGTATATGTCCTATAACTTCATACCAGAACTTTCCCCAAAAGTCCAGGCTTCTGCTGTCAGAAGGTGCTTTAGACTTTGAGTAGAGGCAGTCACAGTTTAGGTGAATGTGATGTCAGCAACGGTGCCAGGCAAGGATAAATTCTTTTGTTACATAACACAAAGCTGATGGAGCATGCAGTCGCTCATGAGGAGGCTTTAGGTGGAGTGCCATCATTTCCTAATTAACTCCTATAACCAGAACAACTCCTGCTGCTAACAGTGGATGAGATTGGGCTTTCAGTGGGCTAAGCTTAAGTTGTTATTCATTCACTAGGATGAACACATGTTCTGTGCCTAATCACAAGAGTGGTCCAGGGGCCTTAGACACCGCTAATGGTGAGGGAGCAGTATTTCACCCTTAAGCCCTAACGCCTCGATTCTTTTCTAATGATTGGACGTCTGTCCTTAGAGCCTTTGTCTGTTCCCCTAGCCCTCAGCCATCACTACCCTCCTGACCCACTGCTTGCTTGGAGGAAAGCCTCTTCATTTTCTGCGCCTGACTGTGTGTGCTTTCTTCACTGATCAAGCCTCTGGGTGTCAGAGTATCAATCTCCAAAGCACCACTGCATATGCACCAGTCGCACCAATCAAGTGCCCATATAAGTCTGTTATTTTGGGTTTGCAGAGGAGGTGACTCTAGTATCTTGACTTCCATCATCTTGTTGAACTGTTTTTAACCTATTTAAATGTATAGCTTATCACTTGCTATTTATTTTATGAATGATCCTTTCAGAGAAGTGTATCATGAAACCATTACATTGTTTATGAATGTACAGTTCCCCCTTTTGCTTAAATCTAGTCTCAACTTTTCATTTCACTCATCTAAGATTTTTTTCCCAAAATTGGTCTAACTTCAGAGCAGTTTCAAAAAGGCTACTATATCTAGTGGAAATGAAACTTGGTCTGTACATGTTAAAATGCATTTAAAATCAAGTGGATGTTGCTACCTTTATTTAACATAATTATGAACATTTATTATTTTATCATTCACTATGTTAAGACTCAGTGTTAGGTAAAATGGGATACTTCTATTTTTTTTATAACCTAGTGGAAGAAAGATACATAGACATAAGTTACAAGTAAAATAACAAACTTCCTATAATTATTGTGGTAAGTTCTAGATGAAGTATAAATACTTATAAGGGGAAATGTTGGTCCTCTGAGGGAATCCAGAAAAGAACTGATTGACAAGCCAAAAATAAGATGGATATATAGTTAACTAGCTAGCATGGGAGAAGAACATTACTGCTAGGAAAAACAGTTGGTATAAAAACTTAGTGATAGAGGCGAGGACAAAACTGAAAGGCCCATTAGACTATCCTAAGAACAATTGTAAAACATTGAAAAGAATTAAGCAGTGCTGTATTCTGATGGTTATGGATTCTTGATTGTAGAAGGACAAGAATGGATAAGAAACCAGTAACTCAGCCAAAAGAGTTAGGTTGGGATAGAAAAAAGGTATCTTTTGACAGGTTGGAGATAAGCTAATAGGACTTAATCTCATGTGAAGGATTTATAAAAGAGTTAACTTATAATAAACACCAGGTGTATAATTAGAACCTTTGTTTGAAATAATGAAATAAGAAAAACTAATCAAAAAGAATACATTTGGGGGGTGGAATGATAGTACTGTGGGTAGGGCATTTGCCTTACACGTGACCAACCTGGGTTCCATCCCTGACTTTTCATTTTGTCCCTGGAGCAACACCAGGAGTAATTCCTGAGTGCAAAGCCAGAAATAATCCCTGAGCATCGCTGGATATGATCCAAACACACACACACACACACACACACACACACACACACAAGAATACATTTGGAGTGAAGAACATGGGTTCTTCACTGGAAAGAACAAACAAGAACATGAAGAATAAGTATGAGTTTGAGCTGAATTTAAGTTCATGCAAAAGATGTCAAATGATATTGGGTGCACTTTGGTCTGAATTAAGGAGATGTCTCAGTTAAAGGTGGAATTTTTTCGTCATCTTTGTTTAGTTAACAAACTTTTATTAACACAGAAGCATATGTCTCATTAATAAACTTGCATTCGTGGCAGTGGAAAAATGATAGTTGCCACCTGATATTTTCTCCATGAAAGTGAAAAGGGGAAAATACAATGATGTTCGGACGAGCTCCACGCATGAAGGAGCCGGCAGAGGAACCCAGGTGTGCGGGACCCAGGGCGTAGATCTCCAAGCCTGCTCGGATTGGGACTGGACCTCCTCCACCCAGATCCCCCATCTTCCAGTATGTAGGCGTTAACACCCACCAACTTCCCCCGGCGCCATGTAATCCCATCAACGGCCAAGACCCAGAGACTATAAAACTCGGCTCCCGGAAGCTACCAAAAGTATACTGTCCACAGGGCAGATTCTGGCAAACTCCCCATGGAGTATTTAATATGCCAAAAACCAGTAACAATGATGAGTTTCATTCTCCTGACCCTGAAAGAGCCTCAAATGTGGTATTTTCTAAAATCCTAGGGCTAGGACGAAGGAGACGTTACTGATGCCTGCTCAAAGAAATTGATGAACAGGATGACAGTGATACAGTGACAGTTTCAGGAAAACTAGTCACTGTCACTGTCCTCCCGTTGTTCATCGATTTGCTCGAGCGGGCCAGTAACATCTCCATTTTGAGACTTGTTGTTACTGTTTGGCATATTGAATACGTCATGGGTAGCTTGCCAGGCTGTGCCGTGCAGTAGCTTGCTGGGCTACTAGTAAAAATTTCAAATAATTTTAGAATAAATTGACTGTGCAAAAATTTTAGGATTATTAGATTAGAAAGTTAGAGGCTCATTTGAGGTTAGAATGAACCTTTATTTAAGCATTTGGACTGCAGTGAGTCCTGAGATAGAACCAAGGTCTGCTGCACATAAGACAATCACCTTAATATCTGTACTATCTCCTTGGCTAAGGATGTATAATAGGTAGAATATCACATGTATTTCTCAGCTATTGGGGTTTTATGATAATTCAAAAAAATTTTTTTCAGGATTAAGATTTTCCTAATCAAAGGGATAAAAGACTTTAAGGTATTGACAGGTTTAATCATTTGCTTAAACTAAATAAGGGGAGTAAAGATAGAAGGGATTAACCTTTTGAGAGGAAGTATAAGTCAGTGGTGCAGATGCTAGTGAGGTCAAAGGTGTTTTAGTGGGTGGAATTGAACAAACAAGCCAATAGAAGTTGTGATCTTATTGGGAAATATTTGAATTCATGGTTTTAAAAATAGACTAGTGACAAGGACTAATAGAGGGACCATGAAAGTGGGTGACTGAGATAGATTAGATTAGGTCATTAGAAAAGATAAAATTAAGAAGAGAGGAAAGATATTAGATCATTCAAGTGGTTATCTACATTAATGTTTCTCAACTGGCTCCACATGGTTCCCTATGTACCTCAGGATATTCCAAGGAGCCACAGGTGAAAATTGTGTAAATAGAGAGGAAGGAAACAAGGTTGAAAATGGACCGTGGTCAGAAAAGATTGAGAAACACTGGTCTACATCACCGGAATGATGGCAACACTTAGGGAGGAAATTGCAAATGGGCTTCTTGAAGAAACAGGGTAATATTCATATTATTTTGGAAAGAATTCAAGGGATTGTGTATGCCAAACAGTCTTGCAAGGCACAGAAAAAATGATATGAAAATTGCAAGGCTTCTGTTCTCTAGAAGCTCAGTTTAAAGTAACGGTTATATAAACAGTTGTGTAATTGCTGATAAAGAGGAAAGGAGATTAATACTACCTACTATAATTAATATTACCCTATAATGGGGACCCGAGACATGGGAGTATTTATCTCTAACTGACACAGTCATTGTAGGTATTATAGAAAAGACTAAATCAGTAAATTTTATCTAGTTCCTAATGTAAAGAATGGGAAGAACAATTCAGGATTGTAAAATGTTTGACTCCTGCCCTGTGTTTGATAAATAAACTCAAAATGATAACATCCTATTAAGTACTAGTAAACATGTAGCTCTTCTTAATAGTATTTTTATTTTTTTAGTCCTTTTAATATTGTTCTCAGAGTTCATCATTATTCTTTAATGGGAAAGTTTAGTATTTGTGTGTTCGTTTATCTAATGTCCCCATGTGTTTGTTGAGTTTACTTTTAAGTTTATACTTGAAAAAAAAAGTTTATACTTGAGTCCGTCTACTACTAAAAGTAAATAGAGTGCTTTGAGTAAGTGATATATGATCATGTTCGTTCATTTGTTTTGTTAAAATACAAACACTTCATAGTAGATTAAATTCTTTCCATTATGGGTGAGACTTTTCTAAAGCTAAAGCATATGACTATGAATATAATGATAGTTGATTTTAGAGCACATTCACAGTTCATTATGTTACAAATCCCGTAAGATTTAGTGTATTAAAATACTAATCACTGGAAATGCTTAATTCTTAAAAAGATCAAAAATTGTTTCTTATAACTTCTCAGAGTTTTAAAATACTGATTTATTCTTTACACTGTTTACGGAAAAGGTTTGAGTTTATTAACTTATAAAATAGTTAATCCCAAAGTTTGGTTAAAGTGGTACACTAGTATACCATTGTTATCTGTAACAATAAGATTCAACTTGAAGTATATTTCTTCTTGATTAAAGATGTTGTTTTTGGCTTTTTTTTCCTCAAAGGTCGTGAAGATGAGAAAAGAAGTGAAGAGAATCCGAGTGTTGGTTATCCGGAAACTTGTTAGGAGTGTTGCCAGACTGAAGTCAAAAAAGTTAGTAATTTAAAGTAATAGTCCTATCACTAGTAACACTGTAGCACTGTCCTCCTGTTGTTCATAGATTTTCTCTGAGCAGGCACCAGTAACATCTCCATTGTGAGACTTGTTACTGTTTTTGGCATATCAAATACGCCATGGGTAGCTTGCCAGGCTGTTACTCATTACTTATAGCACAAAGCATTACTGCCAGCTTGCCATGCGGGCAGGTTACTCATTACTTATAGCACAAAGTTGTTTTTATTCAACATTTACGAAATTTGAGGGTGGGAACAATTAAATATCTTATTACTCATACAGAGCATTGATTCATTTGGAGAAAGGAGCTGGGTAATATAAAATTAAGTTGTGTCAGCATATCTTTATAGAACTTGGACCATATTTATTTAAGATACATGATGAATTTGCCTACTAGTCTTTTTTTAACACTTTTTTTTGGTCTTTTATTTTTTAATTTTTTCTGTTGCTGCAGGTTGAACCCAGGACTTTGTTTAATTATGAGCATGTATTGTTACAGCAGAGCCACATCCCTAGCTCAGAAAAACAGTGGGAGATGCCATGGGTTATAGATTCTGTGGTGTTTCTTTTTCTGTTTGTTTTTGCCTTTTCACTGTGACAGAGATGGAGCACAGGGTCTCATATAAAGTTCTTTACCACTGAGCTGCATCCCTGGGCCTTTTCCTTGTGTAAAGATTAAAAAAATGTTTTACACCGTGGGGGATGGGTGACTGTTAAGCCCTGAGCATCACCAGGTGTGTGGCACCAAAATAAGAAAATTTTTAAAAGGAATGGTGTTTTGTTGAATAAAATTCTTACTTTTCCTAACGGCATATTGAAGTTTTGGTTTTTGTTTTGCAGGGGTTCTGAAGATGCCCTATTAAAAAACCAAAGACGGGCTCAGAGATTACATGAAGAAATCCATGCCATGAAGGTAAGAACAGGGAAGGCAGGATATGCCATGGCTCTTCAGACAGCATTTTTTCCTCTTTTTTTAGTGAAACACCATAAGTTACAGTTGTAGACTAATAAACTTTCGTGCTTGGGTTTCAGTTATACAATGATAGAGTACCCATCCCTCCATTAGTGCCCATTCTCTACCACCAATGATCCCAGTAGCCTTCCCACCTCCTCCCCCTACCCCTCCCTGCCTCTGTGGCAGAGCATTCCCTTTTGCTCTCACTTTCCTTTAGGGTGTTGTGGTTTGCAATAGAGGTATTGAGTGGCCATCGTGTTTGGTAGATAGTCTACTTTCAGCACACATTTCGCATCCCGAGTGAATCCTCCAAACATTCTTTACTTGGTGTTCCCTTCTCTATCTGAGCTGCCTCCGCCCCCCTGCAGTGTGCTGCTGGCTTCCAAGCAGACCTGGTACTCATCTCAACTATTCTTGGGTGTTCATCTCACATTCTGTTACTTTATATTCCCCAGATGAGTGCAGTCTTTCTATGTCTGTCTCTCTCTTTCTGTCTCATTTCACTTAGCAGGATACTTTCCATGTAGAACCACTTGTATGTAAATTTCATGACTTCATCTTTTCTAACAGCTGCATAGTATTCCATTATGTAGATGTACCAAAGTTTCTTTAACCTGTCATCTGTTCTCGGGCACTCGGGTTTTTTCCAAATTTCAGCTGTTGTGAGCAGTAGTTGATACAGTGTCTACCTGATTCTGTTATGGTATGCTTTGTGGCCCAGCACATGGTCTATTCTGGCAAATGTTCCATGTGCACTGGAAAAAAATGTATATTCTTTTTGGGGGGTATATAAAGTCCTGTATAGATTGATTAGCCCTCTCCCATTTTTTCCTTCAGAGCCAGTATTTCCTTGCTGAGTTTTAATCTTCTTGATCTATCCAGAGGTGATAAGGCAGTGTTGAATCTCGAGCTACTATTGTGTTGCTCGCAATGTCCTTCTTAAGGTCTGTTAGCAGTTGTAGGTATTTGACTGGTCCCTCGGTGGGTACATATACGTTTAAGAGTGTGATTTCTTCCTGCTTTACATATCCCTTGATTAATAAAAAATGGCCTTCACCGTCCCTTCTAATCTTTTGCAACCTGAAATCTGTGTTGTCCGATACTAGTAAGGCCACCCCAGCTTTTTTGAGGGGATTGTTTGCTTGCAGGATTGTTTTTGATCCTTTGACTTTGAGTCTGTTTGTTTGTTCAACTGTTGAGATGTGTTTCTTGTAGGCAGCAGAATGTTGGGTTCTGTCTCTGAATCCATTTTGCCACTCTGTGTCTCCCTAATTGGTGAATTTAGACCATTGATGTTGAGCGAGATTATTGTTATGGGGTTTTGTGTCATCTTTCTATAAGGGGTTATTGTGCTTTTCGGGGTTTGTTTTGTCTTACAATAGCCCCTTTAGCCCTTCTTTTAGGTTTGGTTTTGAGTCTATGAAGTTTCTGAGCTTTTGTTTATCCACAAAATAGTGTACTGTTCCTTCAAATTTGAGTAAGTATTTAGCCAGATAGATTATTCTTGGTGAAGCGTTCATTTCAGTGAGATTTTTCACTATATCCCACCATTGCCTTTGGGCTTGGAGGGTTTCCTCTGATAGGTCTACTCTAAATCTAAGGGGTGCTCCTTTGTATGTGATTTCCTTCTTTGCCCTTGCTGCTTGCAGTATTGTGTCTCCATCGGCAGCATCGATCATTCTAACTATGATATGTCTTGGAGTGTTTTTGTTAGGGTCTCTTTTAGCTGGCACCCTCTGGGCTCCTTGAATCTGGATGCCTGCATTCTCCAGCTCTGGGAACTTTTCAGCAATGATTTCTTTAACTGTGGCTTTTCATTGGGATTGCTCCCCTGACCTTCTGGTACTCCAATGATTCTAATGGTGCTCCTCTTGAATTCATCCCCTAAGACTCTGATTCTCTCTAGATCTATTTTGAGGTCTCTTCCTAATTTTTGTTGTTGTCTGTGGGCTTCATGCAGCTCATCTTCCAGCTCACTGATTCTGTCTTCGGCTGTAGCCATTCTCCTTTTGAGGGCACACACTGAGTTTTTTATATCATCTACCGAATCCTTTATTTGTGACACTTCTGTGCATAGCTTTTCTATTTCTTCTCTCATTTCTTCCTGTATTTTCTTGATTGTCCTATCCATAATTTCTTTCATATCCTCCTTTAATTTACTGGAAATCTGTCCCACCATTTCTTTGAGTTCATCGAACATCTTCATTTCTTCATCTCTGAATTCTCTGAATTTATTGGAGAGCTCACATTTGTCAGTAACACCTATTGAGGCTTCTGGACTCTTTTCATCGTCCCCTCCTCATGGTGGGGATTTGCGCTGTTTCTTCATGTTGTTGTGGTGGTATGGAGGCTGAGTTGTGACACCAGCTTGCTGGGTATGGGTAATATAACTGCTGCTACGTGAGCAGCAGCTGGCCCCAAAATAGGCCACGCCCACTGCTGCAGAGGCCAGGACACTACAGGTACCTGGGTGGGAGTGGAGTATACAGACCTGGGAGAGGGAGAAAACTGTGCGCGATATTAGGGACGGACAAACAGGAAGGTGCTTGGGGAGGGGAGGGGAGGCCGCCCAGGGTCCGAGAGGACACCTGGGGCTGGGGAGGTGGCGTCCCAGGTTCGATTATTCACTGACCTGGGAGAGGGAGAAAACTAGGTATGACGTTGGGGACAAACAGCCAAATCGCGTTTTGTATGTGTATATGGTTACTTGAATATTATTGAGAGTTTGAATGAGAGCTTGAATATATTTTGAGAATTGACTAAGACTTTATATTTGTATGGGCCAGTTTGGTGAAAAAATGTAGCACATTTAAAACAAATTTAGATGTTTAAGCTTGTGTTTTTCCTTTTTAAAAAATCTGAATTAAAGTTTTAGACTAATTAAATACTTTGCCAGTCTAAACTCATCTCAGCATGCCTCAATGCCTGTGGTCTTATTTTTACTGCAACTTTAGGTATCAAGAATTAAAGTGTTCATCATATTATTTGGTCATGTGGATGGTAATATTGGTGGCTGACATCATGCTTTTGCCATTGCCAGTGCTATAAATTTTTGCATGGTGGTGTCAGCATTTTATTCAGCTCTGTAGTAACTTGAAATAAAATTAGTATTGAACTAAAATGATGTGTATTTTTGTTTCTTTCAGCCAGACTCTTCACTAGAATAATTTTTAGGTCTCCATTGCAGCTCTTACTTTGTGGAAACTTTCATTTACCAAATGACATAGTATTAAATGTCTAGGAGACTGTTTTATTGCAGAACTTAAATACAACATTTGGTACCAGTAATTATTTTAATTGCAGGGTCATTTTGCAAGTAAGTTTGGCTATACATTTTGGTTTAACTTCAAGTTTTCAGATAGATAAAAGAGCAAGAGACTTCTCTAACAATATCTTAATTGAGTTTGATTATCAGAACTCACCATTTTTTTCCTTTTTAAGAACTGCAAAGCGTTTGGTAGGATAGAACTATCATTGTTCATTTGAATAAAGACAGATATAAAGGTTTATTTGTTTTTTGTGGATTCTTTTTATTTGTCCCCCTTTCCCTCTGCAGGCCTGCAAAATTCATGAAATCTGTTTGATTTTTTTTTCTTTTCGAAGTTTTAATCCCCCCCATACACTATTAATCTATTCAGTCAAAATAGTCTGTCAATTATATTTTGTGTGATAATTATTTGGGGGCTTATATATGAATTAAGTTTTTTCATACATATTTTAATTTTTGTATGAAATGCCTAAGAGGAATAAAACCTCTTGAGATTCTTCTTTTTGAGAATACCACTAGGCTAAAAAGTTATGATTTATTTTTCTTTCCTTTTCCCTTAACTTAGGTCCTTACTAAATTACATTCTGTACCTAAATTTTTCCCTGTAATTTCTTTGAATCGTCATTTTTGGAGTCCTAAATTATTCGGAGGTTTTGAGCTGCCATGAAATTGCTGATTTTATTTTACCATTGAAAGAATGCTTTATATGTAATGTACTTACATGTAGTGTATAAAGACTTTAGAACAAAAGATACTCATTCTAAAACACTTCCCTTATAATGATGATCAATCTACTTCTTTAAAAAGAAAATTTGGCCTGTTTGATCTATATGTGAAGCTCATTTTCTCCTTCAGCAACTTAATTGTTGAACCTTCTTAGCTTCACTAGTTATCTGTGACGTGACCATGGTTTTCTGTTATTCCTTTGATTCTAAAGTTTAAGCTGGATTAAATTTATATATATATATGTATATATATATATATATAAAATAGAACAGAAAGCATTAGAAAAGCTACATGTTTATGTAGCTTTTGTGTCAAATTCCATTTGTAATTCATGGTTCTTTTATAGATTAGTCAATTTTTCTAAAACAAATAGGTATGTAAAGCAGTTTTTTTGACAGATTGACAGATCATTTATAGTTTCCTAAGAAGATGTTTATCATGTACATGGGAGTATCAAAGAAATAGTACAAAATAGAAAACACACGGTCACAATTAAAATATGGGAAAAACCTATACTTAATCTTTTTCCAGATGAATTTTTTTCTTGGTTCATATACCACTTTATTTTTAGTCTTGTTCATGACATCCTCTTCTGTACTTGCTCTCTATGATAATAGGGTATTTTGTTGCAAGATTTTCAGTCCCTCAATAAGAGACCCGGAGATAATTTTTAGCAATGAGAGTTTTGGATTTTTTGGACAAGGGGTAAAAAATCCACAAACCTGATTTTTATTAATCTGTAGGTTTTCAGGTTCTGTTTTATAGTCTGTAATATAAAATACAAAAACTTTACAGCTTTTAATAGTACTCATACTTTTACCTTTTATAGTAATAGGAATACTGGCTTCTGAATCTGTTCCTTTATTTTGAAATATTAAAATAATTTAACAGCTTTTTACAAATTCTGAGCTATGGAACTGAAAAGTGGGTGTTAAAAATTGGGGCTGGAGTGATAGCACCACGG